TTAAAATCTTTTGAGAAAATCACTTTGATCCTTGAATAACCTATATCCTATATTTAAAATCTTTGGAGAAATTCTCTTTGATTCTTGAATAACCTATATCCTACATTAAAAATCTTTGGAGAAATTCTCTTTGATTTTTGCATAATCTATCCTAAATTTAAAATCTTTTGAGAAATTCACTTTGATCCTTGAATAACCTATATCCTATGTTTAAAATCTTTGGAGAAATTCTCTTTGATTTTTGCATAATCTATCCTAAATTTAAAATCTTTTGAGAAATTCACTTTGATCCTTGAATAATCTATCCTAAATTTAAAATCTTTGGAGAAATTATCAATGATTCTTGAATAATCTATCCTGAGTTTAGAATCCTTGGAGAATACTAGTTTAAAACAGATGGAACCTATCTATGTTAACCCTTTAGATCGTAATGTCAATATAAGATGTCGGGCGGGGGACTGGGGAGGGACGTAGGAGGGGAGTGAGAGATGATTCAGTTCACTTAAACATATATTGTAAATATTGAGGTGTTATAGCTAACCGTCATGTGAAGAAAGGAGATTATGTTTTGCTAAGAAGCTATGGATTAGAAGAAGGATTAAACTGACAGAGGATTGAAGAACTCAATTGGAGTTGAAGGCTTGAAAATTCAGGATTTAATGGAGTGATTTTGAGATTTTAAAATAAATAAAATTAAATATGTCTGTCTGTGTTCTGAATTTAAGGACTACTAATTTCTAACCCTGTCCACTACCCACGGGGCATTCGGTTCTAAAATAAGCCGATTTATGAATACCATATGTTTTCTATGGATAGACATCTCGTTCTAAGAATAGATATATTACAACATTGTATTTGTATATATTGTACATACATTGTATATGCGTATAAGTATAAGAGTTTAAGCAAAATTCATATACGTACAAATTCAAATAATGTTTAAAACATAAACACTTCGAAAAAAAATAATTCTTGGTAACATTCCTGAGAACATGTTTTTTGGGATTTTATTTACTTCGCAACCCTTCAATCCTCATAATCTTTTAAACATGCCCCCTTCTAAAGGTCCAGTACAGAAATAAATCTATGGGGGAGGGGGGGGGGGGATTTGAACTGTTAATTCAAAACAATTGGTTTCTTTGAATACTTTAAAAGGTACACTTATTCCCATTACTTCTTATTTATCTCTTTGGAATTTTCGCAAACAAAATTTCGCTAAAATTCGCTTTAACCTGTTTAGCGAAAATTTTACGAAAAAAGAAAGCGAAAACTTCGTGAAAAAATCGGAATCAAAAAAAGCGAAATTAAAATTTTTTTTCAAAGATTCATCAAAAAAGACTTAATACATCTTCAACACCTATGGTTTTTGCGCAAATATTTCGCTTCGTTTTGCATTTTTGGCTTCATTCATTTTCACGAAATTTCGCGAAAAAGTTTGCAAAATACGAACGAAAATTATCGTATTTTTTTGCGAAACGTTTCGTTCGCTGGAAACCCTACTTCCCCTTGTATAACTGCGGTGAATTAGGCAATATTTCGGTCCGTCAGATTTTTGTAAATGAATATGTTAAAATAACAAGGGTAGGAGTAATATTAATTAGTCCACCCCTTTCCTCTTTCCCGGTGAAAATTTCCCTATTGAAATATTGAAATAGTGTTTAATTTACCGAAAATTGCTCAATTTTCTTCTGATTCTTGAAAATTTCATTTTGAACAAAAATGCATTTTTTTCTTTGAAAATTTGTTTTCTTATTCTGAATGGTTTAAGAAGGATGTGGCCAAGCAAATAAAAAAATAGAAAGCTTTGCTCCAGTGAGAATCAGAAAACTGGAAAATAGGAAGACGACGTGAAAGCATTAATTAAGTATTAATTTAGATAATTTTACTATTAACTTATTAATTCACTTATTAAATTAAATGAGTCTGATTACGCTGCACCATGGGCGGATCATGGGCCCTCCCCCCCTCCTGAGCTCCTAGAGGGGGCGGCGGACCCCCTTAAGGAAATACCCTTTAAAAATGTTTTCTCATCTTTATATTTACTAATATGCATCATGCATGCCATCAGGGGGGACCCCAATTTTATTTTTGGCACGGCTATGCGCGCAAATATTGCCTCCTCTTGAGATATTGGTTTGATCCGCCCCTGCGCAAAATTGTTGTATGTTTCATGTTCACTGGACTATTTAAAGTCATAACTTGCTTCTAAAAGCCGTCTTACCATTCCAGAGTTTTATGGGTATCACTGTATTTATCGGGGCGTTAGTTCTGAAAATATTCCAGTATTTATTAAGTGTCTTTTGTAATCTTTAGTTTCAGATAAAATTATTCTGTAAATCTAACTATTAATAGAATCAAGAAAAAAACAATCATCAAGCTAGATGTACTAAACCAAAAGAAATTATATTCTTAAAAAAAATATAACATTTAGCGTAATAATGATGGGCATCATTTTCAGGTCAGTTTTGAGACATTTGCAGATTTTTGGCGTTTAAAGTGTTCCACAAAAGTTTAAGTTAATGCAAAATCAAAACGATTTTCAAAATGGAGAAATAGAAAGGTCGTCTTACTAATCGTTTTGACAAATAGTTTTGCTTAGTATGGTCATCTAGTAACACTTTAGTATAATGTAATGATCGCAAACTTGTCTAGAATGCAATTTTAAAATAAGATTTATTTCTCAGATTCTTGGGGAGACTCTGAAAGTCTGAAAAACGTAGCCATGAGTACTTGTGTAGACATTATATACAAGATAATTGACAAGTGTGTTGGCTTGTCAACCAATTGTCTGGAGAAGATGACGTCATAAATATAGTATGGAATCCTACATAATGGGATTGTTGATGGGCAACCAAAAAAAACTAAATATAAGATTTTGATTTGATCAATCTAAGATTTAATAATTCACCTCTTTTAATTTATGTTTTACTTTACAGTTGAGCTCTCACGTTGATCCAGACTGCACGAAAAGTTGCATAAATTTTTAGACGGTGTCTTTAATTTTACCGTACACATGGTCCGTAACTGGAAGTTTTTGTACGTGGGGACATAAGACATTGGACAAGGCCCTCTTCGTTTACACGGTTTAAAAGTCCCTTATTTAAACTGAAATTTACTGTAACTAGGCTTCGCGCCTATTTTCTATTTCAACTTTTAATTGTGGTCTTTTCTCTGAGAATCTTCTCTTTGTACAGTATAAAACGAAAACAAAAAAGTTCGCGGATTTCGTGATATTTTTCGCGCATTTTCAAAATTTTACAAAAATAAAAACTTTTAAACACATATTATTAAAATTTTAATAATTCATAAAACTTCCCTGGAGTCACATGAAATCCCAAAGAAAATTTGGGCTCGATCGGTTCAGCCGTTTTGACAAACAAACAGACAAACAGACAAGCTAAATTTAAATATAGAAGGAAGTGTAAAGATGAGAAACTAAAGGAATATTAACAAATAACAAAGGAAGAAGATCCGAGGGGTCTAAAACTCTTTCTATTTTAAACATTAAACTTGTAAATTAGATCCACTTTAATCCTTTTCTACATATTTTCAGATTATATTTAATCCGTTTAATCCAGTAAACTGTTACGTTTTGGGGGTTAATGGGGAGGGAAGATATAGCAAGCAAGGGGGGTGTGTAGGAGTGGATCTAGATATAATGCATGCAGTAAATGCCGTACTCTTAAAAGTACATCCTCCAAACTGTATCAGTCCAGGCTCAACCAATCCACTATCCAAGTCAACCAGGACACAACCCACCTGGCTCTCAATGCCAGACAGGGACACAAGCATAGCTTATCAATCTAGCTAATACTTAGGCTCTAAATGCCACAAAGGGAAACAGAGATGCTTATCAATCTAGCTATTACTTAGTCTCTAAATGCCACACAAGGACACAATTGTAGCTATGAAACTAGCTATTACTTTTGCTTTCAATGCCACACGGGGACACAACCATAGCTATCAAACAAGCTCTTAATTTGGCTCTAAATGCCACACAGGGACACAAGAGTAGCTATCGAACAAGCTACCAATTTGGCTTTAAATGCCACTCAGGGACACAAGAATAGCTATCGATTAAGCCCTTAATCAATCTCTACCATAAACAAGGTAGTATCTCAACCCAAATATTTCAGCGGGGGTACCATTACTCTACACTGTAATCAAAGCGGAGTTCTGATTCTAACTAACTGTATTTAAGATTTATATGTTACAAGTTAAAGTTAATAGACGTAATTACAATACCTACCTCGTTATCTATATCACATGATTAAGGCAATCATTTTACATATTTCAGCACAGTTGAAATAGGCGCTTTTAAGATGAGCATATTTGTAGGATTAGCAAGGATAGATAACGTAGTTATTCCATAGATAAATAAATAAACATAGATAGCTTATGTATGCAAAATCACCAAGAATTGTACATTGTACAGTCCGCGAACTCATTCTTCTAGGGGTCAAAGTGTACTTCAATGATAAGCGGGGTGGTTTGGTGTTTTGGTGGATTTCATAATTATTAAACCACTCAGGAGTGAATTTTATTTTGAGAATATCAAATTATTTCACTGAGCAATATCATATTGACGAGAACCGAAGAAGGACATGAGAAGGACTAAACTAACTTAAATTTCTTTTTACAGAACTCATGCACACCACAAGTACTCAATGACATAAGAACAGCCAATGAACCGACCTAGTTAATCTATATAATATGAATGTGGCGGCGTAGTGGCGGAAGACGAAGCTTTTTGAGGAGTCTGGAGCCGAGTATCAAGACGTGGCAAGATGAGCAGTTTCCGGCCACATCACCTAGCTATCTATCTATTTTTTACGTTTTGATTAAATTAAGTTGAAGATTTAGTAATAAAGTAGTTATTTAAACCAGGTGTTTAACAAACCGAGCGTAGCTAAATTGGTGACCCCTAGTTTGAAACTATAGGCAAATAGACTGTTTTTCCGTGCCATTTTATAGCTACATGCTCGTCAAGTGAAATTGAAATGCCTAAGGACAGTGATAAGGTCCAAGCCCTAGCTGAACCCAGCTCGCTGGATTTATTAAACACAGTATCAGTGAAAGTTCCAGCCTTTTGGCCAGATTCTGCAGAGGCCTGGTTCGTGCAGGTGGAGGCTCAGTTCGCCCATAGGGAGTGACCGCCAGTTCCACCAAGTTCTATTACTGTGTTTCATCGTTCAACCAGGAGACGGCTAATCAAGTTCTGGACCTCATCAAGAATCCTCCATCTTCCGACCCCTATGAAGCCTTGAAGAGCCGTTTATTGAGGTTGTTTGCTCTCGACGATTATCACAGGTATGAAGCAATCTCCAACCTTCCTCTCTCCGGCGACATGAAACCTTCAAAGCTTATGTCAAATATGCTCGCCCTGCTACCTCTTGGTCACAAGCCGTGCTTTTTTCTCCGTGGAGCGTTTCTGAAGAGGTTGCCTGCCAACGTTCGAGCTCACCTGCTGAGGGACGATTTTTCAGTTCCTATAGCCTTAGCCTTGAAAGCGGACGAGATCTATCAGAGCAAAGTTTCCTCCTCTACTGTCTACACGGTTTCCAGCGCCCCGGAGGATGTTGTCAACGCCGTGAGATCCTCACCTACAAACCGCCCACGACGTTCAGCAACTCCTCACTCCGGCAGCCGAGATAACAGATCATCGTCTCCGACTCTGTGTTACTATCATCGTACCTGGGGATCTAAGGCTAAGAAATGTAGAGCTCCATGTTCCTGGTCGGGAAACTAGTTTACAGGCAGGAGGATGTTCGTACCCTTCCTGCCGGGCCTTCTACCTCGTCTCCTCTAATCTATCTGCAGGATTCTCTGAGCTCAAGGAGATTCCTCATCGATTCCGGCGCCTCTGTGTCAGTTTTTCCTGATCCAGGATCCTCAGGAGGAGATTCGGGAGTGAAAATGTTAACTGTGGATGGTTCCTCTCTATCATGCTCCGGTTCTTGAGTCATTCCTCTACGATTCGGGAATCACAGGTTTGAGTGGCCTTTTCAACTAGCTCCTGTAGCCGTTCCAATCCTGGGTGCAGATTTTTTGAAACACTACAACCTCCTGCTTGATGTGTCCAACCAGAGGGTTTTCAGTGCCGATTCTCCGACTTCTCCATCCATCGTCTTGCCAACCTCCCCATATTCCAAGCCTGCCTCACTCACAGCCAACCTTCTTGCCACTCCTCAGTATCTCCGACCTCCTCGCAGAGTTTCCAGATGTGGTCTCGTCCGACGGTTTCACGGCCTCTAAACCTCGTCACGGAGTTACTCACCATCTACTCACGCAACCTGGACCTCCGGTGTTCGCGAAGGCTCGACGTCTGGACCTGGAGAAGTTGGCGTCCGCCAAACGAGAGTTTTCTGCCATGGAGAAAGCCGGGATCATTCATCGCTCTAATTCTCCTTGGTCTTCGCCTCTTCATATGGTCAGGAAGAAGGATGGAGGCTGGCGCCCTTGTGGAGATTACAGACAACTGAACACGGATACAGTTCCGGATCGGTACTCTTTACTTAATATTGCTGATTTCACCTCTAGAGTCACAGGTTCAACCATCTTTTCTAAGTTGGATCTTCAGAAGGGGTATTACCAGGTTCCTATGGCTGAAGAAGATATCTGTAAGACAGCGATCATCACTCCATTCGGGATGTTCGAGTTTCTGCGTCTTCCCTTCGGCCTCAGGAAGGCGGGGAACACCTTCCAGAGGATGATGGATTCCATCCTTGGAGACCTTCCTTATTGTTTCACCTACATCGATGATATCCTGGTGTTTAGCAGCAGTTTAGAGGAGCACGTAGATCATCTTCGTCAGGTTCTACTCCTCTGTCGTCAGCATGGTTTGACGATTGGTTTGCCCAAGTGTGAATTCGCCGTGCCTGAGATAGAGTTCCTGGGTCATAAACTTTCTGTGTCAGCATGGTTTAACGATTGGTTTGCCCAAGTGTGAATTCGCCGTGCCTGAGATAGAGTTCCTGGGTCATAAACTTTCTGCTCATGGTTGCTCTCCCCTGGTCAAGCATACTGCTGCGATCTCCAAATTTCCTGTTCCTGCTGACAAACCTGCTCTACAGAGGTTCCTGGGCATGGTGAACTTTTACAGGAAATTTCTCCAGGGGCGGCTAGAGTACTTGCCCCACTTACAGATGCTCTGAAAGGTTCTGGCAAATCTCTTACCTGGACTCCTCTCCTCGACGCTGCCTTCCGTCATGCCAAGGATCTTCTCATCAATGTTCCAGAGCTCTCTCATCCTAGACCATCAGCTCCGATTTCCTTAGCAGTTGACGCTTCTGACTCTCATGTGGGGGCCGTGTTGCAGCAGAGGATTGATGATGCCTGGGTTCCGTTGTCCTTTTTCTCAAGGAAACTTTCGGAGACTGAGAAGAAGTACTCTGCCTTTGACAGAGAACTCCTAGCTGCTTATCTATCTATCAGGCACTTCCGTTTCATGCTAGAAGGTAGAGAATTTTTGTTATTCACTGATCACAAACCTCTAACCTCAGCTTTGTTCAGGAGTTCTCCGCCCTGGTCTGCTCGTCAACAGAGACACCTGGCGTACATTGCAGAGTTCACGAGTTCCATTGTGCATGTGCCAGGCCTGGAGAATATTGTAGCTGACGCCCTTTCTCGTCCCAGCCATACTCCACCTGTTGATCCCTCTTCAGTTGTCCCACCTGGTTCTTCATCACCAACATCTCTGTCCCTGCTCCAAACCTCCACGTCATCTCCACGTCATGCTCCAGATCCACCTCTCCGAGATCCACACCTGCTCCAAACCTCCAAATCATCTCCACCTCATGTTCCAGATCCTCCTACCAGAGATCCAGTTCCGGCAGTGTCGGAGGTGTCGGCGGTGTTGGCGGTGTCGGCGGTGTCAGATTCTCTACCATCCTCAACTTCTATCAATCAATCAAACTCTCAAGAATTTTTAGTTCCAGGTTTCGACTTTTCTCGAATATTGTTACTTCAGAAAACCTGTCCTTTGATCCAAGTTATGAGGAGGTTACCCTCGCTCTCCATAGTGAATGTGACTCTGGATTCCGGATATTTAATTTGTGATGATTCTACAGGGTCCCTCAGACCTTTAGTGCCAGAAGTTCTCCGCAAACCTCTGTTCCTTGCTCTTCACAACGTCTCTCATCCTGGAGTCAGGGGTTCGCGGAGGTTGGTCTCCGCCCGTTTTGTCTGGCCTGGGTTGTCTCGTGATGTCGGGCTGTGGACCAGGTCTTGCCTCCGTTGTCAACAGAGCAAGATTCAGACTCATGTGAAGACCTCCGTTCCTGCCATCCCTGTTCCTTCACGACGGTTTTCTCACGTTCACATCGACATCGTTGGTCCTCTGCCCTCTAGTCAAGGTTATTCTTATGTACTAACAATGATTGACAGAACTACTCGCTGGCCTGAAGCGGTGCCTTTATCCTCCATCTCTACTGAGTCCTGTGTGAGAGCGTTTATCTCAACCTGGGTTTCCAGATTTGGAGTACCTTCTACGTTAACTTCCGACAGAGGTGCTCAGTTCACATCCTCCGTCTGGGCCGGAGTCTGCCGAATCCTGGGTATTTTGCCTTCTCAGACAACAAGCTTTCATCCACAGTCAAACGGTATGATTGAGCGGTTTCACAGATCTCTCAAGTCCTCTCTCCGAGCCAGAGCTTCCGACTCCGACTGGGTTTCTCATTTACCTCTGGTTCTCTTGGGTCTTCGTTCAGTTCCCAAAGAAGACACCGGGTTCTCCGTCTCAGAAGCAGTGTACGATTCTCCTCTGACAATCCCTGGAGAATTTTTAGATGCTCCTGAATTGCCAAGTTCTCAGTTCCTCAGCAAGATGGAGAGAGTCATCGCTGGTTTCTTAATTCCTCCGCCTCATCATGTTCAACATTCGCCTCTGGCTGGAATTCCTGCGGCTCTCAAGGCTGCAAAGTTCGTGTTTGTTAGAGAGGATGCCAGTAAACCCTCACTTGGTCCTCTATATCGAGGCCCTTATCTTGTTATGGAGAAGCGGAGTAAATTCTTCCGCCTGCAGATTGGAACCAAGATAGATGCTGTTTCCGTGGATCGACTTAAACCTGTAATCTCAGACTGTCCAGTGATCCCTGCAGTACCGCCCCCTCGGGGACATCCTCCTCTCCGCCCGTCGAAGCATCCTCCGGACCTTTCCTCCGCCGTGGATTCTTCCACCTCCAAGAAGAAGTCTGTGATATTCATTACTAAACCCGAGTTTATTCCAAGACGAAATCCACACAGACGTGCCAGGGTAAGAAGTTCGTGCTCCACCTTGACTCCGCCGTTCCTTCTTGGGGGGAGTACTGTGGCGGCGTAGTGGCGGAAGACGAAGCTTTTTGAGGAGTCTGGAGCCGAGTATCAAGACAATGCAAGATGAGCAGTTTCCCGCCACGTCACCTACCTATCTATCTATTTTTACGTTTTGATTAAATTAAGTTTAAGATTTAGTAATAAAGTAGTTATTTAAACCAGGCGTTTATCAAACCGAGCGTAGCTAAATGAATATCTTTAAAACATCTCTGTACATTTATATCTTTCAAGACAAAAAATGTCGTCTTATGTGCAATCTATCTTTATCTACGAGTTATTCTATCTCCACATGTACTTATTAAAAAGGGTTTAAGCTAACCATGCTACATATTCATTTGAAACACAGTTCAAATGAACGTAGAAATTTAGAAACATAAATAAATAATAATGATCAATGTACTGCAAGCTTACAGAATATCATGTATTACCTGATATTTATTACATGCAAGTTGGTAAATGCTGCAAAATGGACAGCTGAGGAAAATGCGATGAAATCTCAAATAAACGAGGAGGGATGAAATGGGTGGGTGGGGAGCGGGAGGAGGGGGGGGGAGGTGTTTAAGATGAAGGAGGGGTTACTTTGAAGGTCTTAGGTCGATAGAGTGTGTAATGTAAACATATCAAATATGGGACTTCTCAAAATTTGGTAATTTGTATAATACACGGAACAAGATAGGGAATGGGATGAATAAAATAAAAAAATGTTCAAAATGTAATGTATTCAATTATATGGCACAGTGCGCCTGAAAAAAAATCTTTTTTAAAACTAAATATTTTTTTATTTTCGTTAAGTTATTCATTCTAACAATAATGTTACATGATGTAAATTATCACAATTTTTTAAGCACGAAAATTTGTTACCATTTCTATTTGAGCCATATTACATAGCGGTTAGAATAAAATCCGACTATTGGAAATTGGTATATATGTGAATTAGAGACTTGGGAATTTAAGAATACATTTTCTGCGTTTCAAAATATAACTGTTTTCACATAGCGACGTCATTATTAAAACAATTCAATTGATCAATATGATCGTATTTATATTTGGGCTGTATTAGCTAACTATTAGTTTACAAATAGCAAATAAGTTGGCGGAAATGTAATGCATAAAATGTATTGAATTCAGGGTGGCTTACGATATTTGAAATGATGTCCGGAAAACACACCAAGACAAAATTATCAAAGGTTGGTAATTTCTATGTGAAAACCTGGACATGGTGATCGAATCGAATAGGAGGGAATATATTCCGCATAATTCCTCACAATTCCGCGCAATTCCACGTAACATAATTCTGATTAGAAACCCAAGATAGGATATATTAATATTAATATTTTTGAAATGCATTAGAAAAATTATTGACGGGGTATAAAAATATAAAATCATTGAAAAAAATTATTAACCTAACTTTTTTCATTAAATCTTTTTGAGAAAACT